TAGCCCAGGCTGGCCTCCCACTTGCAATAGCCCTTCTGCCTCCGCCTGTGGAGCGTGCCGCCATGCCCATGAAGTTTCTTTTTTGGAGTATCTTTAAAAATTCTGTGGAGTTTCAGCCCTTAACATTTAAGTCCATGGGGCTGGGGGTAGCTTGGCAGCCTAAGTGCCTGCATGGCAACTCCAAGGACCCGGGTTTGATCCTGGTACCATGTTGTGCTGGCATTACGCTGGGCGTGCTGGCCACCAAAACCAGGCATGGTGGTGCACACCTGTAATCCCAGTGCTGGGGAGGCTGAGATGGGAGGATCACTTCAAGTCTGAGCTGCATAGTGAGACCCTGTATCAAAATAAAAACCGTTTAAATCCATGATCCATTCCAAGCTAACTGATCCTGGAGGTGTGGTAACAGGCAACTGCTTTGCTCACAAACCGAGTCAGTTCAGTGTTGTTATTGTTATTATTATTGAAATTTTTCTTATGTATTTATTTGGTACAGGGTTTCGCTATGCAGCCTGGACTCATAGTGATCCTCCAGTCTCAGCCTTCCCAGTGCTGGGATTGTAGGTGTGCACTAACATGTCCGGCTTCAGTGGTCAGCACAAGCGCCTGGGTTCCGGGGCTGGCATGACACGCGGTACCAGAGGTTGAACCAGGTCCTTGTGCTTGCCCAGAAGGTGCTTAGACTGCTGAGCCATCTCCCCGGCACCAGTGGTATTTGTTGAAACAGTGTACTCTTGCCCAGGTGAATGATCTTGGAAAAGCATTCTACTCTATATACTTAGTCCTGTTTTTCTGATTTATGAATAAATGAAAAAATGAATCATAGGTTATGAGTTTGAAAGCAACTCAGGATCCTGTAGTGCTTTGAAATATGAGAACAATTACTTTCATACAATTGAAACTACATTTTAATTAAACCCATTACAGAGACATGACAAGAAAATGTAGGAGCTGACCCTATACTGGATCCTGGATTGGAATGGGAAACAAAACAGCTGTAAAAGTGTTAAGTGACAAGATTGGAGTAGGAGCAGTAAAGTTTATACTGCTGTAACTTTATGAAGTCGATAGTTGTGGGAATATAAGAGAATGTTCCTGCTCATAGTAACTACACACTAAAGTACGAGAAAGGGCTGTGATGTATATGATTTTCTTTCATATAATTAAAGAGTTTGTATAGGGAAAGGAAACACAAATGACAAAGCAAATAAAACACTTTATCATAAGGGTTAGCAATAGTTTATTCAAAATTAAAGTGTTTGCCATTTATGCTAAGGTCCATAGTGTTGCAGAATAAAAGGTTTTTGTAAGTTTTAAAAAAAATTGTTATGTGAGCATATTGTCTGAATACTTTTTTCATAGAATTTAAATGTTAAAATAGCTATTAATGATGATTTTCTCCCTTTTTTTGGTACTGGGAATCGAACTCAGGACTTCGTGTTTGTCAGGCAGGCACTAAGCAGCTGAGCTGTGTACCCTGGCTCCTTAATGACGATTTTTTTTTTTTTTTTAAGGCAAATAGGAATTTTTTAGTGCTCAGGATTGAACCCTGGTCCTTGCATGCTGGCCAGGTGCAGGGTACTGAGATGTGGGCCTAGCCCACGGGTAGACATTTTTAAAAATTTAATGTATTTGGTACAGGGTCTCCGTGCACAGCTTGGACTCATAGTGATCCTCCTGTTTTCAGCCTTCCCAGTGCTGGGATTACAGACCTGCTCCACCACCCCTGGACTGGGCAGCTGGCTCAGCTCAGTGTGCCCGGTGGTGGGGGTAAGGGTGGGGGCAAGGGTGGGGGCGGGGCCAGCATGGCATTTGTTACCAGGGGTCAAACTGGTCCCTGCGCTTGGCTCAGCAGGCACTTAGTCCGCTGAGCCATATTGCCAACCTCCCATGGGTAGAAATTTATCAGAAAATAAATGGTTGTTCCAGATATAATTTATCCTTAAATGGTGTGTTGTGTGTTCAGGCCAGCAGAGCTTTTGTTGGGCTAGCTGACCTGAGGTCTCTGGTGGTGAGTGCCCCCCTAGTCTTTGTGTGTTTCTAGTTTCAGTGATGGGAGTCAAAGTTACAGAAAGCACTGTTCTTGGGAGCTTGTATACTCTTAGGTGTGGAAGGTGGCATCACGGCGCTCCACAGGCTTAGTGTGGACCCATTTGGATTTTAAGTCCCATTTGGTGTTTGGCCTGTGCATTGCCGCCAGGTCCCTGTGGCCCACTTCCAGGATGGAAGTTGGAGAGGGTCTAGGGGAAGTCGGTACAACCACGCACTGTGAAGAGGCGGCCTGGTCACTGAGCCGACCTTCCCTGCTGGCCAGAGGGCCACCTGTCCCCTTGTCCTGTTCTGTGAGGGCCGTCTCTGCCCTGTCTTGGTCAGCTGGCCCCACTGATGTGTGACCTCAGCTGCCGCTGTGAGCCCATTTAGCACAGGGCTGTTTGCTTTCTTAGTCTCCGGTCGCTGCCGTGCAGCTTGAACACACTGCACACTGCACTTGTGCAGGGGGGTCTCAGAGCATGGACTTGCACCAGCCCTAGTTAGTTTTCACTGTTTTTTTTTTTTCCTGTCTCTCATCCCACATTCTTGACATTTGCTGGATGCTTTGCAAAGCCATAGTTACTCTCTGGGGTGTCCAGTTTCTCTGGAACCTGCGTTTTGACCAGGGCTGTCCTGACCACTAGTGTTGATGTGAGTGTCCTCATTGGTAAGGTGTGGTGTGGTGTGGTTTGACAGCTGTGGGGACACGCTGCCTGTGCCGAGCGCTGGGTGTTGGGTTTGCAGGGAGGAAGTAAGAATTTCCAGCGATAGACGGCCCGTGGTTAAAGGCAGTTTGACCCTCAGCTCACAGGGTTGTGGATTCCATGGAGCTGAGTGATTGCTCTTGAGGTTCTGTATGCAGGGGCCCAGTATGCAGCTGTCTCTGTGTCCTCATGAGGGATGTGGGAGGGACACGAGGGACAGCTGCTATGTAGGGTCTGCCTCCTTCAGAGGTACAGCAGAAGTAGGGTGACTCCCAGTGGGTACCACTTATGACCAGGGCTCTTGCTGACTGGAAAACATGCACTTTTGTCTTGATTCCTTTTTTTTGAGACAGGGACTTTGAGGTTGGCCTTGGATTCACTGTGTAGCCCAGGCTGGCCTCAAATTCATGGATATCCTTTTGCCTCAGCTTCCCCAGTGCTGGGATTGTAGGGGGGCATCACTGTGCCCCGCCCGTCCTGGTTCCTGGGGACTCCTGCTTACCCTCACACATGGTGAGGAGTTTGCTCCCCAGATTCCAGCTGAGCAGGTGGGGTGGGGTGTGACAGGGCCTCCTGCCCTCCTTAGGGCCTTGAGGGGAACTAGTGAGCTATTAGCGGAAGTATTTTCCTTACAGTGTTCTCAGATGGGCTTTTCGGTGACACAGTTACACGGGACATGTTTATTTCTCTTTGGTTGGGCCGAGCAGTAGTACTCTGAAGCCTGAGAACGTGCAGCCTTTACCTTTACCTTCCCAGAGATGGTGGCCTTTGTTGTCCGCAGAGTCCAGTTCCAGCCTACCCCCCTTCCTCATGTTCCATACAGCATCTGTGTGGCATCGCCAGTCCTGGTGCGCTGATGCTGAGGGGCAGGTGCCCGGGGTGTGCTCTTCCTGGGTCAGGCGCCAAGAACATTCCAGTGTCCGTTGAAAAAGCCCTGCAGTCAAGGCAGAGCAAGGAAGGGCTGACGTTAGTGATCAGGCTGAGTCTGTGTGTCAGGCTGAGCTGTTGCTTTTGGCTTTGTGATCCTCAGAGGTGTTCTGTGGTGCAGAGTGAGCACCTGGGAACAGTGGCTTTGTGTTTTCACTCAGGTATAGTCCGGAAAAGCTGAGAAGACCGGCTGGTGACACACTGACATCACAGGGAGAAAAGGACAGCCTGCACGTTTTTGATCGTGGTACTATCGCTTCCAGTAGTACCTCTTTCTCTGGGGTCACTGTGTGGGTCACACAGAACAGAGGTTCTGTTGGGAGCAGTTACTGGGACATGATGGGCAGGTGGTTTCACGGGGCAACCCTCTGCTTTGTGTCTTTTAGAATGTCGTTCTTTCAGGAGGCTCTACGATGTTCCGGGATTTTGGACGCCGACTGCAGAGGGATTTAAAGAGAGTGGTGGACGCCAGATTAAAACTCAGTGAAGAGCTCAGTGGCGGCAGAATAAAGGTAGGAGACCTGAATTTCTGCCATGGGTTGACCAGCTGGTTCTTAGCATGAGGGGAAGGAACCAGTGTGGGCAGAAATGGTAGAAACAAGCGAACCTCTTTGGCTGCCTCTGTGGTAGCCTTCTGTGCCCACAGCAACCCACAGGCACCCGCACCTTCATGGAGTTGTGCACATCTGGTGTGTAGTGTCGCGAGCAGGACCCAGGGTGTGGGAGTAACTGATGGCTGCTCATTCATGTCCTTCGCAAGTATTCGCATTGAACTGAAAGAACTGGGGTTGATAGAGTTATGGGGGCTCCTCCACGTGACAGCTCCTAACTTAGAGGGTGGTTTTATTTGGGCTTCTAACCAAGATTGGGCTTTGGCTGGGCTAGTGGGAGCAAGGAAGAAATCCAAAGAACTGGGGTCAAGCATTGGAAAAGTGCAGTTTCTTTCAGTGTGTTGGGGTAGTCTTAAGCATTTGGAATTATCTGTGAAGTGCCAAACCATTTGATTTAGTCAGAAACTCTTTAGGTAAGCTGTTTGTCCATTCCATTTGTATGAGTGTTAGTGTCCTCGGGGTGGGAGGCGCTCTGCAGGCCTCGGGCTGTCTGGGCTGTCCCCTTACTTTCATGCTGGGACTGCAGCACCGCTCGTGTCTAGGCAGGGGATGTGGGCATGAGGGTGGGACTCCTGTCCTGGAGGTGGAAGGCGAGCGGGGCAGCAAGGTGTGGTCACCCTGGAGTGCTCGGAGTAAACGCGCCCCTCTCTCTGCAGCCCAAGCCTGTGGAGGTGCAGGTGATCACGCATCACATGCAGCGCTACGCCGTGTGGTTTGGAGGTTCCATGCTGGCCTCAACCGTAAGTCCCTTCTGTGATGTGTTGGCCTTGCTGCCTTGTTTGTCCAGTTGCATAAACAGGCTCTGTGCGTCTAGATCTCCACATGCTTGATCTTGTTACGTGTGGAGAAATAGCTAATGGTCATTCACATTCAGCTAATTGTGAGCTCCTGGCTAGTCCAAAAATAACCTTAAAAAAATCTTGCATTGATCATTAATCCCAATTTTGCATTTAATTCCATCAATCCCAATTTCTAAGCAATTACCATTTTATATTTTATCCCCTCATATAGATTAGTGGGGCCAGGGAGATGCTCAGTAGGGGCCTGAGTTCAATCCCCAGTTCTG